ACCAGCCGTGCGTACCACCAGGTTTTTGACAAGTTCAGACCGAGGAAAAACGCAGGGGTTTTCCCTGGGAGTGCAGCATGGGCCAGGATGACAAAGGATGCCAAGGCCAGGGCGCGGTGTGCGCACAAAGAAGCTGGCCAAAAGTTCGATCAAAAGCATCCACGAACACCGGTTGTTGTTGCTGAGAAGAAGCGGAAGGCCAAGCAAAAGAAGAAGAGTAAGACGACTGGTGAGGAAGGCGAGGATGATGTGCGCGAGGAACCCGAAGAAGAAGAAGAAGAAGAAGAACATGCACATAGTCCTATAGATGTAGATTAGGTCGATCTTGTCATGAAGGCGCCCTTGGAAAAATCTATGCGCGCAACACAGCCTCAAGGCTTGTTGTATTTGACTCTACTGTAACAGTCAAGAGTAGTAACCTCTTGATTCTTCAATTTGATTACGCTAAGATTTGCAGAGTGTTGAGAAATTACTTTGGAATATGTTTTGAGGGATGTTGAGAGATACTGTTGAGAGCGTAAGGTTTTTGCGATTGTATTTCGAGAGATGTTGAGGATGATGGTGAGAGAGTTTTTACTGTGGAGAGAGTTGTGAGAGCGGTTGAGAGAGTTGGAAGTTAGAGTTGTGAGACTCTTTTCTGTTTGTCACGGTTCATATCGTGCTGATTATCGTTTCTTTGGAGCTTGATTGCTTTGTGTGGAGAGATTTCATTGAGTCAGAGTTGAGCGAGTTGAGGGTTCAAGCACCAGTTGAGAGATTGATTGTTGACAGATTCAACCTTGTACATTCAGAGTTTGTTCTTGAGCATGCAGTATTATCTTTCTATTATGATTCCATTTGCTTCACTGCAATTCAGCACCATTCGGGTAGCAGCTGACACCATCATGGAAAGAATACTGCTCCTCCAACAACATCTCAACAACCTCTCGACTACATCTCAACAACATCTCAACGAACCCTCAACAAACTTTCGACAGTGTGCGGTATTTCTACATCTTCTTCGATCTGCCGAAGCTTTGTTTGCCCGCAATGGTGAATCACCAGGTGATGATTCGAGATTTGGATTGGAGCACCAAAGCTTCGAACCTGGTGGAGCGCGTGTCGAATCTCAATGCTGACGCGGCCGACTTGATCCAGGAGGTCAGGGTTACAAGGCAAGGACGCTTCTTTCCTGGAAAAATGCGCACAGCGTTTGTGCATCTTCGAGATGGTGCTTCGGAAGAAGTTGCGCAGCAAATTGCAGCGATCTTGGGGGGTAGGGTTGTTGAGCCTAAGGCTAAGCAACAACCTCCTCCTAAGCAGCAGCCTGCACAGCAGCCTGTGCCCGTTGAGCAACTCCCAGGACTTGGCCTCAAGAGATGCCCTGCCCCTCCGCCGAGACCATCCTCTTCGGCTTCTCGTGGTGCCAGCAGTGCGCCAGTGACACCGCCAAAAGGGAGCCAGTCACCACCAAGCCTTTTGCCAAGGCCACCAACAAGGCAGTTGCCAAGGCCACCACCAGGTCCTCCGCCTGGATGGATTCCGCCAGCCCCTAAGTATCCATTCTCGCCAACGCCGCCAATTCCTATGACAGCACCACCGCCTGCTGCCCCCAAGTTTAGTCTTCCTGCTGCTTGGCGTCCAAAGGTTCGACCCAGCACTACAAGACTGCTAGAAGAACAGCAGCAGCCAAAGAAGGTAGCTGCTCCATCATCTGCTCCGCCACGAGTTGAAGAAGAAGACGGTGGTGAAGCAGCTCCTCGTCGGACAGAAGTGAAGGTCGAGCAGCCAGACAACACGAGTGGGCCTCTTCAGAATGTCACCACTAAGCCCGAGAGTGAGCAGAAGGATGAAGAGTATGAAGATGTTGTGCTTGATGATGAGGCACATGAAGCAGAAGAAGAAGGGCATGAGAAGAAGGAGACAGAGCAGGAAGAGAAGCAAGAGAATGAAGAAGAATACTTTTTGCCTGAGGCAACAAGTGCTTCGTTTGCTCGCATGGCTGTAGATCCTGTTCCCGGTCATCATCAAGTGTATGCTCAGCCCACTCCTCATCGTGATGAAGGCCATGACGACACCCAGCCCATTCCCAGTGCTCATGATGAAGGCCATCATGAAGAAGGTGTGCCCACCAGTCCTGCTGGTGGCCTTGTCGAAGCTGATGATGATGAGGTTGAGCGCTTCCACGAGGCTGATGAGCTGCCGGAGGAAAAGGCGGAATTGGGATTGATGAAAGAAGAGGAAAAGGAAACTGATGAAGGCTTTGAAGGCGGCGAGGCTACACCATGGAAGAGGCGGACGGACAAGCGTGACCGTCGCAAGAAGAAGGCAGCAGCGGCAGGAGCGCGTGCCAAGAGTGCTGCTGGTTCTTCTTCGCAGCCGGCTTCAGGTGACGTCAGTGGTAGCCGGAAGCCTTCTTCAGCGGCAGAGCATGATGCTGATGAGGAGAAGGCAAAGGAGCCCACCTGAAATGAGCTGCTGCAAGACATGTCTTTGAGTTCAGAGTTGTTTGAGAGTCTTGTGAGGTTCTGTTGAGAGTCTTTTGAGAGCTTGTTGAGAGGTTGAGAGGCTTGTGTGCTTGGAAGCTGTCGTTTTTTTAACTCAAGTATGTACACACTGAGGCCATAGTTTGTTTGCGCTGTTGCAGGATGATGACGATCCAGACAGACCTCCTACACCTTCGGCACCAAGGGGGTCAGGGACAAAGAGGAAGCGATCCTCGAGGTCTCCGTCATCGTCCACCAAGAAGAAGAAGCGCAAGAGCAAGACTCGCCGCAAGAAGAAGGAGAAGAAGCAGAAGAAAGACAAGAATGCAAAGAAAGAACGCCGTAAGAAGCATGAGAAGAAGGCTCGCGCTCAAGATAAGAGCAAGAAGCGGAGTCGTGGACGACGCCATCAAGGTGGAAGACGTGGTCATAACGGTCACAAGACGCGGCATCGCCGCCGGCTTCCATCGTCATCTTCTTCGTCCTCGAGTTCCTCGGACTACGGCTACAGCTACAGCGGCTGTGACAGCCATGGATCCTGATAGGAACCTCGAACGTCTCGCGCAAAAATGCAGCGTTTGAATGCGGTGCTTTGGAATGATGACACATTGCTTGCTTGTGGGTTCTTCCTTCAGCTTACTTGTTGAGAGTCTTTTGAGAGTTTGTTGAGAGTCTTCTGAGTCGTTTGAATTGTCTTATACTCTTTGAGATGTACTGTAGCAACATCCCAACGACATCTAAACAACAGTCTCAACGCACTCTCAAGATACTCTCAACAACCCAACAACAACAACGACAACAACCAGAATAAGAACAGCAACAACCAGAAGAACAACACCAACAAACTCAACCTCCCAACCTCAACAAGTCTCCCAAAGGATCCAACATCATGAAGAAACTCAGACCTCAACACTCCCAAACATCACCACAGACTTCCTATTAACACTGGACAATATAGTAGGATTGAAGGTGTACTTGAATAAATGAGTATCAGCGTGTTGGTTTTCAGAAAGGTTGAGAGAAGTTGAGAGAGTTTGAGCGAATGACCAGCTTGTGTGAAAACATGTGTGACTTGAAATCGTTTGTTGTTGAACTGTGAAGTTGAATTACAAACTTGTGCCCTGCAGCCTGCTGCAAAACAAGATCGTAGATCTGATTCGTAGAACAAGTGTGTTGTAGAACCACTCTCGTAGAAGAGCAGCTACTATGTCGTCGAACAAACAGAATGGCAACGACATCCCTGATGCTGAGATGACCAATCAAGATCTTTGGTCACAGGAAGCTGTTGTTGCTTCGCCTGCAACTCCTCCCAATGACTCGCAGGCTCCTTTGGAGGATGTGAATGACATCAACGTCGAGAACAATGGTGGGCCCTCTGCGCAAGTTTCTGACTCTCAGAACCCTGAAGATGATGAGTCTGAAGAAGAGGGTGAGTTCTATGCCATGACATTGAGGAGTGATGGCACTTTGGTGCGTCATGACAACGGCAACGCTTTCCCCAGCCCGGAGACAATGCTGCTTGCCGAGCGCATCCAGGCCTTGTTGCTTGCTGGCCCTCCAGCCTGCAACTTGAACATCGGTGGACCTCCTTCTTCTTCCTCCCAGCCTGCTGATCCTGCACATCCTGGACCCAAGCGGATGCCCAAGTCGAGAGCATCAAAGAAGAAGGACAAGAAGAAGAAGCAGCAAAGCTGAACCGATCGCAGCTGGCTTGCTGTTTGACAGTTGAGCGTCCAACCCTAACTTTTTTTTAAGGGCCGAACCGATCGGAGCCATTCGCGCGTTGATGGAAAACATGTCGAGTGCGTGTGAGTTGTTTGAGAGAGTGTTTCACACTTGACTGTTTTCTTTGTGCAGGTCTGCTTGGAGAGTCGTTGAGGGATTTGTGAACTATTGAAGCTGTTGAGAGAGTTGAGAGTTACTGTGGTGGAAATATTTGATTGACATGTTGAATTTCATGTTGAATTTCATTGAAACTTTTGTGAATCTTCAACATTATGTTTTTATGAAAGTAGAAGTTTACTAGAAGATGGAAACTTCTAGTTTGCAAGTAGAAGTTTAAGTAGAAGTAAAGTAGAAGTTTGACTTGTTGAAAATGACAACCCTTACAGTGAATATGCAATGTTGCTTATGAAACTTCTAGTAAACTTCTAGTAAACTGCTAGTAAACTTCTAGTAAACTTCTAGTTGTGGAAACTAGAAGTTTCATGGAAACTTCTAGTAAACTTCTACTTTTGAACATTCATAAGTTAAGAAAATTTATATGTATTTCTATGATTTCTATACATTGTATATATTGCAATTGTTGAGAGCTCTTACCTGTCTGAATAACGTTGTGCACTTGTCGGTTGAGAGAAAGTGAATTTGCTCCCATATCCGTGAAGCAGTTAGCTGGAAAGTCCAATAGCAGCGCGCATCGACTTTCGGAGTACCGCTCTCACCATGCCGCCTCCCATGAAGCGACCATCATCAAGGAAGGATGAGGCTGAGGATGTCGAGCCGGAGACCAAAAAGAGGCCAGCTGCCAGTGGAAGCATGAACAAGGCGATCAACGAGCTGAAGCATGGCCTCAGATCTTCAAGCTCCAAGAAGGACGAGGACGACAACGAGGAAGAGTCTGTTGGAGAGGAGGAGGACTCTCACCTCCGCGACAAAGGAAAGAGTATAAAATTTAACTCGATGAGGAGGAGTTTGCCGGCCCACATCGTTCACCTCTACGACACCGAGGCCCTTTCGAAGCCAAGTCCCCGCGAGTTCAGGACGCAGGTGATCAACCAGCTGTTCACGAAGTTGAAGAACGGCAGATACTCGTTGAATGCGGAGAAACCTATGTTTCAAGAGGCCAAGAAGCTCTACGAGCGCAAATACGGCAAGGATTCCGAGACCGGATTGCCGAAGAGCGTGTTGAAAGGGCTCTACTTTCAGAACTCGGAGAGCGCCTTTCAAGAGGCCATTAGCAGTGGCGATGTGTACGTCATGAACTCCGAGGATGGTGTGGAGTTCTTCGGCTTTCGCAAGATCGAAGCTGGGCGCGAGAGGCGTGTTTTGCTGCAGTGCTGGAGAGTCTTGCTGAGAGAGTCATTCAGAGTTTCGGAAAGAGCAGCTGAGAAAGTTTTGATAGAGTTGTCTTTTCTTGAGAGAGTTTTTGAGAGAGTTGTCTTTTTGTTGAGAGCTTTTGAGAGGGTTGCCTTTTTGTTGAGAGAGTGTTTGACAGAGTTGCTTTTTTGTTGGGAGGTGTGGAGACTTGTTGAGAGTCTGTTGAGAGTCTTTTTGTGAAGTCCTGGTGGATGTTTTTTTTGATGCTGTTGATGTTTTGTTGATTGTTGTTATGGAAGTGGCTGTTGTGGCTGCTGTGGCAGGGGCACTACTCGGGAACAGAGTGTCCTCAAGGAGAAGAAGATCACAGCTGATCAGTCCAACTGCTTGGAGGACTTGTTGGAGCAGCTGAATTGGAGCTTCAATTGGAAGAAGACGGACGCGAAGTCCATGGTCGAAGGAGAGAAGCTTCCTGAGTCAGTTCTGAAGCTGCTCACACAGGCCATCACCAGTGAGACCAAGCTGTCGGGCGATGCTTTCAAGCTTCTCAAGAAGATTGGCGACGATGGCGGCGCAGACTACAAGGGTCTGAAGCTCCTGTACACCGAGAGCCAGACGCATTTGTCTGACCTGAAGCACATCAAGGACTTCAAGGAGTTTCCTGGCGAGAAGGACCCCCCTCTGACCAAGGAAGCCTTCGATTTGCGCATGAAAAAGGCATTGATGTCTATTTTGGATATAAATTTTGGGTGTGGGTCAACAAGTTAACATGTCTATACCTCACCACACGCATTGTTTTCAAGCAAAGTGTTTTGGAACGTTTCATTTTCTGATGACCTGCGCAGGTCGCGGCCCATGCCCAGAAGTTGAACGAGGCCATTGAAAGCACCAAGGGAAAGATGAAGGCTTTGACCAACTAGCTTCCCTCCATCGTAGAAGATCCGGAGAAATTTGGCAGATTAAGTGCGATGTCCGTGATCGCCACTGCCACGGCAAGTCTTGCCAGACTTCTTATGAGACATGAGTCTCGGGTTCCCCCTGTGCGTTGCAAGTGGGGTGAATCCCCTTGAACATGAACCCGAAACTCCAAGCCAGGAGATCAACGAATTTGTCTAGAGTGCGATACCCCGTGTCGCCCTCCTCAGTGATGCCAGCTTTGTCGAACAATGCCCATATGAAGAACTGTGAATCTCTCACAGAAGCTGTTGTGGAAAGGAGGGAGTGCCAGCTAAAGTTGACCATTTTTCTGCTCCACTGCTTCCCTATACCGGTGACGGGGACTTCGTCGCCGTGGAGGGAGAGCGGAATTACTTTCCCCAGCTCTCTGTCAGCGAAATGTTCGAGTGGATGCCCGGACCACTGTGGGTGCTTCCCATTCTCTTGAGCGCGCCAGAACTTGAGTGGAAGGCCTTCGTCCGGTAGAATAACCTTGTCCCACGTAGCCTTGTGTTCATATATCGCAGCCAACATCTCGCGCGGAAGCAATATCTCCTGGATGCGTTCTCCCAGTGGGTTAGCAAACCTCAGCTGAACCTGATGGGGCTGTGGCAAACTGATGTTTGGTTCGACTTTCTTCATTAGGTCAGAGTAGCACTTGTTTGAGTATTGACCGGACACGCCAATGGTGGCTACAGACTCCAAGTCCTGCTCTATGGGGTGGGCGTGAGGTGTCAAAAGCCACGACGACGATGAGGCTGATGCGCCTGCAGTCGTAGGAGGAGCAGCCATGCAGGCTTCTTGGATTGCCCTTACATCCTTGAAGCTGGCCTGCGCAGTGGCTTGGGCTTCCTGTGCAGAGTATTCACCCCATGCAAACTTTTTCAAAATGTAGCGCACGAGTTTGCTTGGCATACTTGTTGATAGAGCACTCTGTTCCTCCTGCTCGCAGACCGCGCTAGCAGCCAATCGTTGTCGTACACCTCCCTTTCTTTGTCTTTTGGCGTTTGGAGGTGCGGCCATGCTTGCTGTTGCATAGTATTCCACGATAACAAACAAAGTGAAATTGGTTTGCCATGCACTGCGTTTGAAGATTTATTGGACCCAACATGTTGCAGTATCATGTTTTAGTAGGTAGTAGTCCGTCAAAATAGTAGTAAAACATTGGCCAAGAAGAGCCACTCAATTGCCGGCAGGAATATCGCAAGCAATGTTGTTGAAGCATTCCTCAACTCCTTTCTCGCGCATATATCAACTACTGTATATCCCTCCACATCCCTCAAACATCTCTCCACTACGTCTTCCTCTCTCTCTCTCTCAGTCAGCAAATGCGCGCGTGCAATGAACTTCCATGCAAGTTCACCAAGCCCAGAAAACCGCTGTCATCTATTATTTCATCCATCATCAACGCGAGGGCGACTTGGACGACAAACAATACTTTATGTTTCAACAAGCTGGCGCAAACAACTTTCTCCATACTTCTCAAAAGTTTGATTTTGAACCACCCTCGTTGTTGTGTGTTTCCCTATTGGTTCCTTCACCAAACTCACTGGAAATCTCTCAAATTTGGGTTCCCTCAACATCATTCGACATCTCTCAAAGTTTGGTTCTTCCCTCAACATCATTCGACATCTCTCAAACTTTGGTTCTTCCCTCAACATCACTGGACATCTCTCAAAATAGGGTCCCCTCAACATCGCCCGACATCTCCCAAATTTGGGTTCCCTGTTCCCTCAACATCACTCTACATCTCTCAAATTTGGGTTCCCTCAACATCACTCGACATCTCTCAACATTGCTTTCCCCCAACTCCCTGGACACTATTAGGTGGCCGCCTGGGAGCAAGCAGGCATTTAGATCTGGGCAGCCATTGGCTGCTGGGTACAAAGCTTGCCTTTGGAGCATAATTGGCGATTTAGATTATTTCGTTTCTATTCTGCGCCTTCCAAACTTCAATTCACAGCGACCTTGCTCACTCTGCCGCTGCTCATTGGCAGGAGCGAACAGTTGGAGCAACTTTACTCCATCAGCGCCTTGGAGGGGCCAGCTGTGGACCTATGCTACTTGGAGCGCTTGGGGCGGCAGAAGCAGATGCCCTCTGTTTGGTAGGCTCAGCCACTGCAGTGCGCTCACCGTGACACTTAGACTACATGCACTGTAAGTTCCTGGGAGTTGACCAGTATGTCTTCGGGTCGGTTTTGGCGCTATTGACCTGTGAGGTTACGCCTGGATCACCGCAGCAAAACCTTGATCTTTTGTGGTCTGAAATCAAACACCTCTACCACCAGCACAATACAAAGGTCAGGTACCGGTATTTGAACAAGTTGACGATGTTCCTTCGGCAAAACGGCACGCCCAAGCTCCGCGGCAAGGCCGGCGAAATTCGCCATTTTGCTGATATTATTGTGCATTTGTGGCAAAGACACATGTCTTCAGAGTTGCTTGTTCACAAGCAAATTCATCTACTTCTGAAGCTTAGTGCGCGCATGGAGCAGCTCATCACGGACAACCGTGAGGAAATCGCGTTCCCTGCGCCTGAGGCCAGGAAGTTCGCCAAGGCATGTCAGGAGATGTTGAGCCTCCACGCTGTGTTGGCCAATCACTTTGCCGAAGAAGAGACTGACCTGTTCACCTTGACCAGCAAGTGTCACATGCTGCAGCACATTTCCTTGTTGGCTGGTTGCATCAACCCACGTTTAGTGTGGTGCTTTTCCGGCGAGGACATGCAAAACCGCGTGCAACAACTCGCACAGGCGTCTGTCAAGGGCAACAACGCTGCGTCTGCAGTCAACAAGATCGTTCGCCACTACAGATTGGCAATGCAAATTGCTTTCATGGACCACGAAGATGAAATCTAGCTACAGGAAAAGAGTGATTCTTTTGGATTGTTGTGGAGACTTCTTGAGGAGTGTTTGGGATTGCTTTGGAGAGTTGTTGAGGGTTCTTTTGGATTCTTGTGGAGACTTCTCGAGGAGTGTTTTGGATTGTTTTGGAGAGTTGTTGAGGGATTCTTTTGGGTTGTTGTGGAGACTTCATGAGGAGTGTTTTGGGTTGTTTTGGAGAGTTGTTGAGGGATTCTTTTGGATTGTTGTGGAAACTTCTTGAGGAGTCTTTTGGAAAGGCTTCGTGAGGAGTCTTTTGGATTGTTTTGGAGACTTCTTGCATGAGGAGTGTTTTGGATTGTTTTGGAGAGTTGTTGAGGGTTCTTGTTGAATTCTTGTTGAGGGTTCTCCGTAACTTCTGTACAGAGTGTTTTGATACTGTTTGGGTACAGGTACCAGTGACGTTTGTTTGTTGGGTGACTTTTGTTTGTGGGTTTGTTCTCGAGGACCCTCATTGATGTGCCATTTATCACGCAGCTTAATCTGCTCACAAACATCTAGCACACGTTGAGATCTGAAGACACCCAGATTGGGTTTATCTGTATTCTTGCAATGGCTACTACGGAGCATGACCTGAAGAGGCCCAAGAAGACCGATGCGACTTGGCTTTTCAAGAAAAGAAGTCAAAGAAGTAAGAAGTAAGAACAGCCAAAAAAACATAGAAAACCCAATCTGTTGAGGACGACAACAAGGACGACAAGGACAACAATGACGACAACCAGGATGAGACCAAAAAAAGAGGTGAAAAACGCAAGCGTGAAGATTCACCAGTTGTCCGTGAGATTGACTTTGACAGGATTGTCGTCACCAATCTTGCTGGCCGACGCTACCATGAACACACATGCGCGTGTGTGACGCCCCCCAACCCACATATGATGGTGGGTGTCCAACTATGCATCCATTGCAACAAGCATGCCCGAAAAGTGGCATACTTTGCTGAGGTCTTTGACCGCATTTGTATCCTCCACTTACTAGACAGGTGCCAAGACCGCGGCCCCTTCACTCGGGAAGTTCGTCCATGCAGCCAGTGCTTGCCATGGGACGGTGCTTGATGACGGTGGCGGCGCGCGCTGCTGAAAAAGTTTGCGTGTTACTCTCATCAACTCTCAACTACTCTCAACAAGTCTTTCAACTACTACTCTCAACAAGTCTTTCACCTACTCTCTCAACCTACTCTCTCAACCACCATCCCGTCACACACTTTGGAATACAAAAATACAGATCATCGTCTTAACCAATGTTCGATTGACAATATCAGTATCATTTCCTACATTCAAAAAACATACAACACCATTTTCAACAAGGATTGTTGAGGTGTGCTTGAGGGATTGAATGTTCGATTGACAATATCAGTATCATTTCCTACATTCAAAAAACATACAACACCATTTTCAACAAGGATTGTTGAGGTGTGCTTGAGGGGTTGAGGGATTGTTGAGGGATTGTTGAGGGATTGAGGGTTGATGAAAAGGCTCACTGCTGCCATTTCTTGGGAGTTTACTTCTTTCCTTTGCATCGAGTTGCCTTTTTGGTAGATCAAACACAGATAGTAGATCGAAGGAGCTCTTGAGTGAACCACTGCCAGCATCAAAAGTATGTTTGGCCATGATGATACTTTGGAGTGCTTCATGGTTTCCAACGCGAAACTGAGCCATGATGAGATTGAGTGTTCTAAGGAACTTGGTCGCTGGGTTTTGTGTGAGCTGCATTTTGGAAAGTGTGGTATCGCCCCTTCCCACACCTTGTCATGGCAGGCCTTCACACTGGCATGCGCCCGAGCTTCCTTGGCCACCCTGGTTGGAAAACAACCTTCAGAGCTTGCTGGCGACATCACAGTCGACAGCATTGCGCCAAATCATGGGAAAGGGCGCTTTGATATCCTGGACTTGAGGGGCACAACACGCGAAGAGATCTTGGCAAGGGAATTCCGCGTTGCCCACAGCATGCTCGCTGCCAACAACCTCATGTGTGAAAACTTCAACTGGCTTCAAGACGTTGTCGAAGACATTGAGATGCTTCACATAGATTTGACAGGTTTTGTCATCCAATAGAAGCACCGATATGATGCGACGCAGCGAGCAAAAAGGAGATACTCATATGCGGAACTCAGCATTCATCACGTGCCACTTGTGTTTGTTAGCTATGACAAATCAAAGCATCAAACAACAACGCGCCAAACAGAAACAAGTCTTCTTCTACATGACTTTCTTCAAGGCAGCATGTTCTTCAGTTCTTCCTCTTTGGAGTGGTGTTGAGGGAAACTTGTTGAGAGATGTTGCGTCGTTTCTCCTTCTTGTTCTCCTTCTTCCCCTATTATTAGACAAATAGAAACTCACAAAAGGGTACCAAGAAAACGCACAAAAACATGACATGGAAACTAGAAGTTTTGCAGTTTTGCAAGTAGAAGTTTACTAGAAGTTTGCTAGAAGTTTTCGACGTTAAAAATAGACGAATACGTTAAAAAATAGTCGAAAAAATTAACGAAATTTCGATAAAAATAGACGAATTTTTTAACGTAAAAATAGACGAAAAAATTATCGTATTTTGGAAAATACGTTAAAAAAATTATCGAAATTTCGATAATTTTTATCGTAAAATACGTTAAAAGTTAAAAGTTAAACGTCTATTTTTGAAAATAGACGTTCTCAGTCTATTGGGAAAGCCCTGGTGAACCTCACGCTCCCAGGCAGCATTCGATATATAGGGTATAGGGCAACTGTGCCGAGCTGTCTCACCTGGGTTACACTAGGAATAAATTAGAGGCATGGCGATATCCTTATGCCGCCGTCAATGCCTTTGAGGAATGTGTCAAGCTAGCCACCCCAAAGTGGCTCCACTACATCATGCCGAGGGAGAGCGACTGGATTGCCCCCTGCAATTGACCTAAACAATCTCAGCAACGACTATCTGGGGGTGAAACGCCAGTGAGAGCTAGGGCGGCTACCCAAGTAGCTGTCCCTCAGCATTGCCAGGCGGGGAATGGGTACTGTGTAGGAGTCTGTTCCCTCTGCTCCCCCGTTTATGGTAGGATGGCTCAAGTGTGAATACCCCTGACGAGGCTCAAATCTTAAGTAGGAGCTTCGCAGGTTGCCGCAATGGTTGGTGATACCTGGTCACAAACGAGCTCGCTAGTCAGCAATGAACGCCAGTTAGTGTTGCAACTCCTGCTGACAACCCTTTCTGGAGAAGAAATACAAATCGTCATCGATCTCCAAGAGTTTGATCGGTTAGACGAGTTTGAAACTGCTGTCCTTGAGCAGCTCCCGACCATTGGAGGACACAGCACCTTTGGGAGACACTGGAGAAATCCTGGCGAACCCAATCTGGGACACTCTCAGAGACTGTAACCGCTTCAACCTTGTGGTCCGACAAGGTTTCAGTCAAGCCGAACACAAAGGGCAACTGAAGAGGAGTGCTAAAGCAATTCGAGTACCGCCCATTCGCACGGGTCGGGCGCTACCCCATGCTTTCACGCATACGGTTGATGTGGGGCATGTGCAAGTAGAGGCAGGAATACATACCATTGGCGAAGCGGCCTGGCAGCACTGCAACAGGCTGCTAATTGTTCAACTGCCAAGTACTGTAGTCTGCCTGCAAGATGGAGCCTTCCGCCGGAACTATGTACTCCACACCGTCATAGCCCCCGGGTGCAAATACTTTGGGCTCTGGGTATTCGAAGAATGCTACGCTTTAGCACAGATTGGGGATCAAAGCGCGACAGTCAATCAGCTGGCGCCACAGGCGCGATTCCGTCCGCGAGCCTTCGAAAAATGCAGCACCTTGCAGCAACTCAATTTTGAGAGAACTGAGTACGATCCCACCAATTTGTATCGTTCCATACCCGAGGGTTGCTTTTTCGAGGCAGGGATAGAGTCGTTATTTTTACCAGCAGATTTCAACTGGATGGGTCCAGCGGCATGTGAGCATTGTAAAAGGTTGCGGGTAGTTGACATCTCGCAAACTGAAATCAGTGAGATTCTGGGGGGCGCCTTTGCACATTGCTCGCAGCTGCAGCAGCTCCAACTGGCCAAAGCTGTGAGGCGCATTGGGCGAGGCGCCCTCCTAAATTGCACCTCCTTGGGCGAACTACACACCCCACCCACGTTGCTCTATATCGACAAACGAGCATTTGCTGGCTGTACACAGCTGTGCACGCTCATCAGAGTGGGAAGAAAAACGACTTGGAGAGGTACTTACGCAGAACACGATGCATTCGAGTTGTGCGCGCAACTTGCACTCCCAAAATGGATCCGGCTCCTCCCCAAGCCAACTGACGGCCATGAAGAGTGGGCTGATTTCATGAGAAGCTGCGCCGAATCAAACTGCAGAGACGCTTGACCACTCAGACCTGCGTCCGCATGCAGGTTCTGAGCAAGCCACGCACCTGCCAACTGACATGCCGACACTGCTGCCGATACTGAGTAGCTAGACAGTACCCAGGGCTGCCTCCCAAGAGGTGGTCTTGGAAGCGTACAGATGTACAGTCTTGCCAACTAGGAATAGCGGAGTTTCACTGTTTCACGTAGTTCAAGGGGCTTGCATGTTTTACGGATTCTAGAGCACTCGAACTGCAAGACGGAGATGCTGAGCTTGTCGAGACTTGTCAACAGGGTCCTGCCTGTCAATGTTCCTTGAGGGCAACGCAAGGTCACGTCGCTTCGTCCTTACTGCTCCCGCTCGTCATTTTGGAGCTACTGTCAAGGAGTGCACTCTTGTCACCGCATTCCCCTTTGGGGGGGGGGGCCTAGGAGGGGGGACCGCTTGTCTCGGTCCATCCCATCCGATGTCCTCTGCAGGTCATGACTTTCGTAAGTTTGACAACCGACTCTTCTGAGTATCACTCGCCCACTACAAGCCTTTAGTGCAGAGTTAACCGTGCTCTACCAACTGTGCTCTTCGCAATCTCGCGCAATCTCTCCGTCTCCTTGGGATTTTGAACACAGTGAGTTGAAAACCCCTGTCTCGCCAGGTGTGCTGCGTATCATGCATCCGAAGCTTGAAGGAAGCAAGCTGTTGCATGCCGATGCCGTCATGCGCCAGATTGACAATGCTCGTTTGGAACAAGCTGAATCCGCCTGAAGAAAGTCGTGCTCTTGGATATAAGTCATGATTCGCCTTGGCACTACGATTCTGCTTACAATGTTCCTTACTCCAGCACACGTTTGAAGACTCTTAATGCAGACAGGTCAGCGCCGAAATCGTCATACAGGCACTCACTGCCCGCGAAAGGAAGTTCGCCACCTCCTGATCCTCATGAACTGAGCACAGACAGAAATATGAATTCAGTGCCCCGTTTCACCTGCCTGACGAGATACGAGCCTGACTTGTTCGGTTTGTGTGTTTGGGTTTTGTTTGTGGTGCTGCTTTGGGCCTTGTTCTTGTTCCTGGCTCGTATCTCCTCGGCAACCCTATTTAATTCAATCAAGGTGACTTGTGCCTCTCGGCACACACAGCGCCTCCACCCGTGCAAAAAAAGATGTTTACAGCGCGCAAAAGCTTCATGCCCGATGAAGGACGTTCCTTGGGGCAGGCTGACAAGTTGGACTCCCGACGAATGGAAGCGCCCAATTGGTATGCCCACTGGAGGGAGGGCCAGGCTTTTTGCAGAATGTTGCGCCCTCGAAAAAGTAGGGATCCTCACAGAACACCCTTGCCGCCTGGCTTGTGGGGCTGTTGTTTCACCATATGCCTTTGAGGGCTGCGCAAAACTCGAACAGATAGGCCTCCCTCAAACAAGAGCTATCACCGACATGGTCTTCCCCGAGGGACAAGCAACCTGGCATTGCAACTGCTGTTAGAGCATAACACCCTTGGAACGCAGCATATTCGACTGCAACCACCGAGCTTGGTAAGTTGACAATTGTCAGGGAGTGACAGTGACGCCACGCTTGCTGGTCGATGGTGTGAAAGCCAGCTTCTACTTGCGCGTGTCGAAGGCGCGTGAGTGAAAAGAAAGCCTTGGCGGGGAGAATACCTGACTCATTTATGGGGATCCAGATGGCCTTGGGATGGTCTTCATACACATCTCGTCGAATTTGCTCCTTAGAGCAACAAGTCCGTCGGCAGTCTTGCGTGACAAGGTGAAAGCAATCATTATAATCCGGACGCCTAAGATAGAAGATATTAGTTGTGAAAATCGTCTATTTGAAAGCGTGCCCGGTTTTGAACACCCGACCGGTTCAAATAGAAGATGGCCCACAAGCCCGGGCAAAACAAATAGAAGGTATTATTTGGGACAGCCGCGGCTATTTCCATCTCCCTCTCCTCTCCTCTCCTCTCTCCTCTCCTCTCCTCTCCTCTCCTCTCCTCTCCTCTCCTCTCCTCCTCTCGCCTCTCCTCTCGCCTCTCCTCTCGCCTCTCCTCTCGCC